ATAGTCTACATTTGCAGAAAACAGCCCCAAGCTTATAAATGCATCACAGAGAACACACATGGAAAGGTTTCCATCACTCAAGAGCAGTGGTCTGGCCCAGGAAACAAAATAATGCCTGTACCCCCTCCCATTTCTAGCCAGTCATGTTGCTATGCAATAATATTCAATAGTAAGCAAGGCCCTGAAATAGCGCGACACTACCCAGCAAGAAAGCATTGTTCACTCAAGAGAAATTGGTTTTGAAAGTGCCAGACTGAAAGACTGTTAAAGAAGTGTTGCATCAAAAATTGCTTTAAGCCACAAAGCTACCATAGTGTCAGATCTGTCAATTCAAAATGTTCAGACTTGAAAGACATGTAAAATATGGGGTGAAAGGGATGAGTCGGTGCAAGGAAGAAGGCAGGAACACTTAATGTTGAGAAATATTTTCATGATTGTTTTTCAACCAGCATTTTGGTTATTTACGGGCGCCGCACACAACCAAATACACTTCATCGCAATGCGGTGCAAAAAGAAGAAGAAGAAAAGCGGGTTAACAGCATCAGTCCCAGCTCATTAGCCACACTGACAGTCTATTTTACACACCAAAGTTGCTGCTCTCCTGTATCTCTGTTTCATCACTGTTTCTTTGTTCTGTGCTGTTTAATCTAAGACATCAAACAGTGCACCTTACAAAGAAGTCATAAAACCACAAATTTCATTTAAAAATGAATGCCGCTTCCAATCACCCGGTGAGGGAGCTCATTATGATTTTAGCTGTGCTCATTATAATCAAATGGAGTCTGACCTTTTGTCCCACTGCACTGCTTTGAGAGCGGCTGTAGGCTGTTGATAAAGAGGGGAGTGACAAGGGTTTTAATAGTGAATTGTAATTTTCTGTCCAAGGTTGAAGATAATATTATATGAAGGTTCATGTATACTTATTCCAGATTAGAAAAGAAAGTATTCAGATGTAAAGTTCAGGTCTGGACAACTATCTAGAGTCCTTGAATCCCTTTTGCAAAGCAGGAATGCAATTAACAGTAAAGACTTGCCATTATCCGATGTTGTTTACCATCTTATACGAAAGTTCCCGGAATTACTCAAGAGCTGCACTTTAGAGGAGCTATATTTGGTCAAGTAGATGTTGCCAACAATGACGACACCCAATACAGCACTAACCCATATTTTACTGCGTCGTCTGTATTGATTACCAAAAAGATATCCAGGCTCTCATTAGTATTTTGGGAGACGACGCCATTTAGAGTGAGTTAGATTGAATGATTGGAAATAAAAGGCCCCGCTAGATTTCTCATGTTTGACAGAAATTGGGGACAAAACGTACTCATGTTGGTGAACAGCCAAGGAGTCCAGGAGGATATGTGCAAAACACTAAAATTCTACAAATACAGAATTGCAAAGCACACAGCAGCAACAACAGCGTGATTCTGGACCCCCAACTGACAAAAAAAACAAGTCAAGCAGCTTTGGCAGTAGAAAGAGTCCTTCGTACATTGTAGTGTTACTTGATTTCCTAACCAAACATCACATTAAAAAAAAACAGCTATTCCCACTGCTCCCTCTCTGGCGTGTATCCACGATGCTGCAGTTCTTAAACTTGACTGGAAACACGAGGAGGAACCCAACGCATATAAATGTTTCACATTTTTCTCAAGCCTTCAGGTTATGTATACAACTCCACACAAACTCCCAACACAAACAGTAACTCTGAAAGTGACTCAATGATCCAAAAGTCCATGGTTACTTGGTGATTTTTCCAACTTCCTATGTTGTGATAATTTGACAGCCATGTGGAAAAATGGAAGGACATAGTGATGATTGTAAATAAGCTACTTGCTTAGCCAAATTCACCACAAATCTTGGCAAGTCAACCAGGATTTGTGGTGAAATAGTATGTCTATCAAGAAATATCTTATATTTTCTGTATCTAACTAAACACTCATTAAGCATATACTCATGCTAGTTAGGTGAAAGGCGCCATGATACAACAGTCAAATTGCGAAAAAACTCTTGCTTTTAAAGGTGCTATAGAAATACATTTTTAATTGAATTGAAAATGGTGCTTGGAGACCAACGCGCAACCACAATTACTGTGATTGTGACCAATGGACTTGGTTTCTTCAAAGACGGCGACCAAGTCTGCAACCACTTGCAGTCAAGTCTGCTATCAGTTTGCAACTGCATCAGGTAAAATTAGTAAACTGCAGAATGACATCGACACTTATCAAAGTTGCTTTTATAAAAAAAACAGATCCAGAATACAAACAGCTGGCAGCCAGATAAGCTGAGTCTCATGTAGTTGTGTTCATTAACAAAGACTCATTCAGACTGATGGCAGCATGTTGGTAATTTATCTGGATTTATAAATGAGACAGCAATTATTTGCAAACCTTCAACAATCTGTCTGAGTCAATGCAGTTGGAGTCAAACTGCAATAGTCTGTAGACAAGTCACATTCTTTACGATCGAAAGGTGAACATTTAATGCACTCAACTTCTGGGCGACAGTTTGGTCATGGCAACTGGTTGTAATTGATGACTGAAACTGAAAAAATTCAATGCAATCACCAGGCAACCACTCATTCTTGGTTAGTGGTTGCCTGGTGGAGGTGGTCATCCTGTTTTTAATCCAGTGCCACATGGTTAAAAAATGATGTATGAACTGAATTGTAGCCCAAAAATCAAGGCACAGTTAGTTACAAACTCTTATGTCTTAATTTGGAAGAACAGTTTGTTTGCGATGCTGTTTTGTTACTTGTAGAATTTCATCCTTTATTTTTCACATTGGCCTTTTAGATAGAAATATAATGTGGATAAATGGCTGACAATTTCCTAAACAATTGAGCTCTAGAACGCTTGTTAACATGATTAATTGAGAAAATTAGACAAACTTGGGTGTTTTGCCCAAACAAACAAACCAAAAAAAAAACCCAATTTAATATGAAGCCAGTGGATGCTTATTTTTAAGCGTTCTTTAGGAATTTTGCAAAGCTTATTTACTGTGATTCCGCCAGAATATGAAAGCTTGTGCAATTGCTGATCTAAACACCAAGCACAGGAGCTCTTTCCAAGAACAAAACCCTTTTCCTTAGGACACGATGTGTTTCATGTGTGCAGAAGCACAGACAGCAGACAGAACCAGGAGACACATCAAAACTACAGGCTAGTTAGCATGATCGGTATAGCCACCATGGCAGCGCTGCACAAAAGAAAACCGCTCCGTGCAAAAACTCCAAACTTCTTCAATCAAAACTGGAAAATATATAAATAAATCCAAAACTCTGAGGAAAGCAATTCTGTCTAAAAGGAAAGCAACTGAGCCAAAAGCAGAGTGAACACTGGCGTTGCTTTCCAAAAGATAAAAAGAACTCCAAGTTTCAAGAAATAACAATGGGAACTTGTATTACACTTTTTTGCCTCGAGGCACACAATTGCATTTTAAAACTTACAGCAAAGGTCAGAATGGGTAAAAATTGTTCAGTTTATATCCTAACAGTTCCAGCCAGAGACCTACTGCTGCTGTGGAATTAGACAAAAGTCATTCTAATCACTTCAACAAAAAGAGAGACGCATATTCCTCTATTCATCTATTAATTTTTCCAGACCATTTAAGGGCTCTCGCAAAGAAAAGCAAAAAAAAAAAAAAAGTATCCACACCTCTAGCAGACTGCTTGAAGGGTGTATTTCTTTTGAAAAAGTCATAAATGCCTGCTTTACTGCCACGGCCCAATCATCAATCATCTTTTGCTACCTGTTTTGAAATGCTGAATGTCTCTACTGTAGATAGAGAGATTAAGACTGTTGGGATGACATTTTGAGGCTGGTGAGAAAATGATGTATGACTTTGCTCGGCCTTCGCTGGAGTCTCTTAAAAAAAAGAAAAGAAAAGGCACTACAATGTGCAATCCAGTAGCAGTTAAAAGCCATCGCTCCGTCTGATCGTCACACAGCAATGGAGGTGATGATGACGACGGCTGTGCTGAATCCTAACAGTTTCTCTGCCTGTCCCAAACCGCTTCCCTCTGCTCTTCCTCTTTTTCTTCCTGTTTTCTTTTTGTTTGTTTTTTTATTCTTCCCAGCTGTGCGTCATCTGGCATTTGTTTGTATCCTTGCAGACATGAGCTAGCACAGGAAAGGTGCGCCGAGCCAAATGAGTCACAGAGAGGAGAAGCTGTGGTCGTATGAAGGCAGTCAAAAGAACACGAGCTCCACTTTTACATTAGCATTTTCCACTGGTTCAGATCAGCCATGCAGGGCCGTTTTATATCCAGCAAGCAACCTTATTTCCCTGAAGATTGATTATGTTTAAAGCTTGGTAGTGAGGAAACTTTAGTAGGAGTTCTAGCATAAGATTCAAATAAATAAAGCAGGCAACAATAAAAAAAATTATGACTCTGTTTATTGATCACACACTTTACTCAGGAAAACTCTGCAGCCTGATTCCCTTCACATACTATATGCCTTTAAAAAAAAAAAAGGAAAGAAAGAGAGAGAGATAATTAAGCTGTAAATTGTGGGATAGTGCATGGCTTGTCAACCTTGGCTGTGACACTGACAAGAAATCTGTCACCTGCTTTAGGTTCAGACTTAAATATTTCAGCAGCCTTAAGAAAAAAAGTGCTGAAGTGGCTCTGGGTGAATTCCACTGCTAAGCAATTAAAGCAGCCTGGAAGTCACAGCGACGCTATTGACTGCGACACTTTGGCAAAAGGTGCAGTGATCAGCTTTAAAAAGCTTAATTTTGGGGGGTTTTAAGTGACTCGAAGCAACTGTGGAAAATAATCACCAGACAGTACGCTCAGAAGCATTAGCAACAAAAAGGATGTTCTGTGGAAGTACATTTGTTTAGAAATTCACTGAATGACAACGGATTTTCCATTGATCTTTCTGCGTGCGGTTCGTGGCACTTATTTTTGCTGGAGTTTCTACTTCACTTCAGTGAAAATCTTCACAAAAGCAGCAGGAGGGAGAAAAATGAGGAAAGGCAGGATACTTCCTTACCTGTGACTGATAGCTCAGTAGTCCTTCGCACCACAAAGTTCCCAAACGGCACTTCACACGTGTAATTCCCAATGTCATCTTCCCGTACTTCCTTGATGGAGAGAATGTCCTTCTTCCTTTCAATGGTTTGTCTCCACTGCTTTGGCTTGCACTCCTGTTTTGTTTTGTTTTTTTCAAAGACAAAACAAGAGGATGGAGATACAACTTGTAAATGTAAAGCATGAACACTGGTTTCTTTAAAGTAAGAGGGCGGGGCTACAATAATTTTCACATTTCCAGTATCAAGTGAACCCACGGAGTTCACTTGATACTAGGAGAGTACCCGGTTCTCTCCGGGTACTCCGGCTTCCTCCCACCGTCCAAAGACATGCAACTTGTGGGGATAGGTTAATTGGATAATCCAAATTGCCACTAGGTGTGAATGTGCGAGTGAATGTGAGTGTGAATGGTTGTCTGTCCCTGTGCGTTGGCCCTGCGACAAACTGGCGACCTGTCCAGGGTGTACCCTGCCTCTCGCCCTATGACAGCTGGGATAGGCTCCAGCGCCCCCCGCGACCCTGAAAAGGATAAGCGGAAGCGAATGGATGGATGGACAGTATCAAGTGGTATGATGACAAACTTGCATTCAAATGTCATATAATCTGTACTCTGGACATCATGAGCCGAACCAATGAACAACTCTAGACAGTGTTAAGAACTTTAACTACACATTTAATCCTTCAGATATTTCATATAAGAAAAGGAAGTGTGCTGCTGTAGTAACTGACAGACATCTGTCAGCACGACGTTTGGCCTTTCAAATCCAAACAAATCCTGAAAACACAGTTAGAAACCAATCGCATATAAGAAATGAATGTGCAAAATGACATATTTGCAAAGTTCTGGTATATCACTGTGCAGACTGTAATTATATTGACAGAATGTATTATTTTACTTTTTATTCATTATTCATTTTTGTTTATTGTGAACTCATTGTGGACAAAAATCATGTGGGATCATGTTGACAGAGAACAGCATAAAAGGGAAGCTCTGTTTGACTTATTTACTGTATTCCCGTGTATGTTTTCAGCTTTTATATTTCTCATTTTCTTAGCAAAATGAAAGGGAAGTATCAAGATTTTTGCACAGTACTATATATTGCTTGGATTTATTGATCTCCTTTGCCTACTAGATTTGTGGTGTTAAATTTAACACAGTTCACAGTTTTATGACCAAATGCTCTCAGTGCTTTTTGTGTATTAATTATTATATCTGAATTTACTGTACTTTCACATCGATGCCTGTCAGATTCAGTCTCAGCTTCAAAGTATATCAGATTTTAAAAACAAAACAACTAAATCTGTAGAGAACCTCTATAACTAAACACCGTATCATAAAATACTCCAGCAGCTTTATAGCAGAGAGACCTCATATCATATCACACAGCACACAAACTTTGTTTGATGCCAGATTTCAGACATTAGTTTAGTGAGCTCCTGTTGTCCCGACACAAATACTCTTTTAAACTGTGATGTATGAGACCGGGTGCCTGCGCATTTATCATTCTGAGGCAGGACTGCAGCACCAAATTAAGCTGCACCACCTATTTGTAAAATCATTACTGGGTTTATCTGTAAGTTCCTTCCTAAACTCTTAGTGATTTTAGGATTTACTTCATTGGGTTGCATCATCAGTATTTGCTCGGTTGCTTGGTAACATCTCTGGAGCCAATCAGAGGCAATCAGTGTGAACAGGAAATTATTTCAGCATCAGGAGCTGTAAGAGCCCAAAATAACACACCGAGGCCAAATTATATATTGGAATAATCGGAAAAAATAAGCACCAGTTTAATAATATATATTAATACACATATAAAAAATGTTTTTTTTATGTGAGAGTATATTGAGTCAGAGTGAATAAGAAACATTACATTATATTGGCCTAATGGTCTGCAGTTTCAGGTCTTAAATTAGAAAACTATTATTAACTTAATGGGTTCATTAAAGGGGGCTAATTCTGTTCATTTTCATCTACATATTTTTATCTTGGACTTTACTAGGGTAGCTTTGCATGATTCCAAGTTCAAAATAATTCCTATTTGTTATACACTGTAACAGTCTCTGAAATAAGCTTCTTTTTTTTAGCTTCATTTATTCTTTTATAAGTCAGTTTTCCACTGATTTGCTGCCCCTCGAAATCAGACAATTTGAACAGATGGTGGGTCCCACCCACCCACCTCTATCCAGCGTATGAAGGTTCAGTCACACAAGGCTAGAGGCTGGCTGACAAAACCTCCTTGCAGTTGCTTTGATTACTAGCACACTGTCACAGTCGCCTGTAGTTTGCATTTACTAACTAACTATGAAACAGTAGTTGAACTTCTAAAAGTGAGATGCAAATTAGAAACAGAGACCAAATTTCCCACGTGTGGGACTAATAAAGGTTATCCTATCTTATCTCATCTTATCTTAAATGTGCTGATTTATATGATAAGAAATAATTTGTACACTAAAGGTAAACAGTCTATATTTCCAGTTAGCATCATACTCTTCAGAGTTTGCTAGTCGGCAAGTGTTTGCAGCCAAGTTATTATATTATTCTGCAGAAACTATAACAATCTGTTAGCAAGTAACCACAAGGTTTCCTGGGCAATATGCACTTTTCCGTAGTTACCGGTGGTTACCAGTGGGTCCAGTACAGTCTGTAGGCCTGTGTGTCAGAGAAACCAAGCATTTTATAATATATATTTTGCACAAGACATTTTCATTAAGGTTAATTAAGGTGACTCTGCTACACAATGTTGGTTCTGGAGCTTTAAGGAAACCTCCGTTCTCATCGCGACACATGTGAAGAGTTCTAAACATAAGCAAAAAGTGAGGATGACAACATCAGCACGGATAACAAATTTGTACAGAATGTGATGAATGTGAAAATCATTCTGGGTACTGGTTGTTTCCTTTCACATCAAAATTGGGCTCCGTGTGCCCAACAAGCAGCAGGGAGCAGATTCCAACACAGAATGACAGACCTGGCTACTCTATAACTGCACTGACAAAATACTGTGTATCGTAGGATTGGTTTCTAACTGTGTTTTCAGTATTTGTTTGGATTTGAAAGGACATTTTTCCTATGCGCACATGTGTTAAAAATGGAGTTCAGCTTGTAATGAAGAGACTAGCTTTTAGTTTCAGTCACTGATAATTTACCTGATCAGTTAAAATCTGTGAATAGCTGGTAAACACTACACTGGAGCCAGGTACACACAGAAAACAACCTAAAGTACAACACGAGTCTTATTTTCTATCTCCACAGCCCATGTAGCCACGTAGGTGGCGATCATGAAGTAGGCATGGACTTTTAGAAACAGCCTTTCAACTTTTGGGCCACCTGAGGCAAAAAAAACTAGGGCACTGTGGGAAGCGTCTTGCAGGATTGAATCAGCCCACCAACAAAGTGAGAGCCAATAACTGGAGGGTGTGGATCCCACTGGCATTATCTGCTATTTTAATTTGATTCCGCGGGAAATGGAAGTGGCCACCTAATCAAGCACACTTTCACATTTGATAAATTGGCCCCCGAGCTGCGCCTACGAGCTCTGGCAAAGAGGCCTGTTGGACACAGAAGGCCTGCCAGGTCGGTTCCACTGTGGGCCTCCCAACTCTCCACACAACAAGCAATATTTTTCTCTTTTTGTTTGACCGCTTGAAAATGTGGTATTTAAAGCTAAGTTTAACCAAAACACGACCCTAACCCTTTGTTGATAGAGTGATAGCTGATGAAAAACTCTAACCATACCTTGTACCACACGATCTCAGGCTCCATTCCTTGCTGTACATAATCCTCAATGCCTGGGCAGATGATGTCTTTGCTTTTGCTCAGCTCCGCCTTCTCAAAGAACCTCATTTTGGAGTTGTAGCAGAGGTCTGTGTCATTCTCCGCCACCGTGAGGGACATGGACACCTTCATGCAATACGTGGAGTTCCTGCAAAAGATAAAACGTTAACAAATCGGTCAGTGTAACAAATGGACCCGCGTCACTTTTTGAGCTCTTGCCAGCTGCTGAGCCGAGAAGCTGTCAGCAGTCCATCTCCGAGCCGCTCAATCAAAAATTCCTGGGCTAATTCCTGGGATTGAATGTGAATCATTAAATGCAACAGAAGGAGACACAGAGAAACCTTTGATTTCTTTTAAAGAAAACCTGCCTTTAATGCTGAATAACTACTGATTCCAACAATGAACAGCAATGATGCATAATCAGCTAATCTGTGCATATGAATATATATATTTGTATATATACAGTACATGTGTCCTAATGAAAAACCAATGGGTGTTATTGAAGAGCTAGAGCGCTTACAGTCAACAGCACTCGAAGACTGCCTTTTGTTTTCATGCGTTTTCGCAGATACAGTGCGAGCTAGCAGAAAATGACTTGCTACAACTGATGTACTGTAAGTGCTCAGGTCATACACATAAAGAAGAGAATTTATAACGCGAGGGAGAGACGGCGTAAAATGCGAGATTACTCGTGATGTTTGGAGACTCCATGCTCGCCTGGCTTCGCAGATACGGCAGAGTATTTATCCACGCTGGAATAAACATTTCATTTTACTGCTCGGCACTGCGGCGCGCACCTTCAGTGATTTGTGTGTCTAAATGTGAGTCGAGCGCTCGTATGCAGGCAAGCTCGAGGTATCCTGGATGAGATCTAGGCCTGCCTGAGTGGGTTTCGCTTCACGGACAGCCCCGTGAGAAGAAGCGATCCAGCTGCTAAGCACAAGCAGCAATCCTCTTTGTGTCATTAATGTGACAGCGATTTTGAGATCGGATCTGCTGCTCGAGTAATTCTTAACCCAACTTGGGGAATCGATGAAGCCATTGATTCGCTGGGAAAGTTGTGCTATTTAAAGGAGGAGGGGGGGAACAGAAGCAAAGGTCCTTGATGATCAATTTATGTAATAGGGGCACCTTTTCTTTGCCCAAACCGCCTAATAAGACTGTCACAATTGACAAGTACTCTTCAGCCCTACTGCAGCAAATCCCCCCCCTGGTTAAAAGACCAACAAATTGGCAGTGTTTAGGAAAATCTCACAGCTAATTTTCCAACTAAAGCTGGTTACACAAATTGAGCTGAACCAACAAACAATTACAAACATGTTAAATCCTTACATAATTGCGAGGCATTAGCTGCCTCGTGGATTAGCGCGAAAACACACTGGTCTTCACCACAGTGTCTGCAAACAATCCCACGCCCCCCCCCGCCCCCCACCCCCACCCCCCTACACTCGAACTGGACGGCTCCACACGCTCCTCTTACTGTAAAGTGTGCCATTTTTCCTGAAGCCCGGATGCAAATGTGACATGATGTGGAGATTATCCCAGACAACTTCTACCAGATGGACACCTGTGCAAATGAGATCCCACGGGTGCGCTCTCTTCCCTGTTAAATATTCTGGGCAGCGCTGATAAACTCGCAGGCTGGTAGCGAGAGAGAGGGAGAGACAGAGAGCGAGAGATAGAGAGCGAGAGAGAACTGTGTCATCTGCTCTGCATGAGTGATCGATGGTGCGGGCCAACACTCTGTCCTACGATGTCTTTCCAGCATTTCACATCCATCACTGATGCCTTTTGAGCCTGGAGAAGCTGGACGATCTCTTGACTATCCACTCAGCATGTGTGCAGTCATATTCAAGAAGCTCGCTCAGAGAATAGAGCAGGGGAAATTATCCTCCCGCACCACAGTGGAGGACTCGACTGTACGCCATGCAATGTAAACTCCTTGTGGATACAGTGATAACAAGCTAGGTGATACCATGGCATTAATGGGCGCGAGTGCCTGTCAAACGTGTCAGACTGAAGAGGATATGCAATGTCGTGGCAATGATAGATAGCATCCTGCATACATCAACCCGGATCAGAGTAAGGCTGACAGCTATGGTACACAGCTGGAGGGCAGGCAGAGGACTTGAGATGCAATATGCGGCAAATTCAGTGAAATTATGTGCAATGGTCAGTTCGGAGTTAAGCAGCCTGGAGAAAAGATTATGGCTGTCATACTGGCAAATACTCAGGGATATGGTAGTGGCTGAAATAAGGGGATAATTAAAAGCTGACTATATATAAACTTTGATACATATATTTTTAATTTCTTTTATTGACTGAGAATAACCCACCTGAAGATTAAACCACACTGAACCTGCCCCCTTTTTTTTGCTCAGCAACTCTTCCATCTGATATTAAATAATAGGGCTCAGAATTGATTTGAAAATTCTCCCGAGAATCCGGGGCACCTGTGGGGAAATTAATGAACTAACTTAATGAATCTCTTAATTAAAATAACTCCTCTCCAATATAAATCGCATGATGAAATAATTGACGATTTATTACAGCTGACTTTCGAGTAACAATAAGGTTGTTAGGGAATCGCCTGGTGTAAAGCAGACACCGCGAGGCAGAAAAAAGAAATAAAGTCCAAAGGTTGATTAAAGGTTACCTTGAGACAATATCATTACTGGCAGTGAAATGAACCCACCGCAGGTATTAACCCTAAGAGATTTAATGCAGGCAGCTGATATGCTGTACAGTAACATTAGGGTCTTACCTTAGGCTGCTATTAGCATTTAAATAGAGATGTCTGAGGTTTACCTTGGTACAGATGTTTTACGTAACAATTTATGCTGCAATAAAATAACACGCTGCACAAAAATAGTGGGGTTTCTTTTCATATTTTTGCCTCTTAACAACTCTGAAACTACTTACAGTCATTTTAAAATGCAATAGCTTCAAAGCTGCTGAAAAAAACGAATCTAACAGCAACAACCTATTTAGAAAAATTGTCATTGGAAGTTTTCCAACTATCTCATTAGCATCCAAAGGAAAATTAAATCCAACATCCAGGGTGATGGATGCGCGTCCTTCATCGATGCAGTTTGTATTTCTTTCTTTTAAAATAGTTTTAAAAGGAATTCTTACAGCAACCAGGACAGAGTTTGTCTGCGTGCATTGTACAGAGGGATTGTTACTACTACTAAAAGCGCTATACAAATACAGGCCATTTACCATTTACAACCGAGTAAATTCTAATAAAAGTAATTTATTAGAATTTACTTGGGTCCTGATGAATGAGTCCTGAAAAATTGATAAAAAACCCTAAACAGGAGTCTGAATTGGAAAAAGGATGATCAAATCAACACAAAACCATCCTTTTAAAGAGTCCTAATGAGATTGGAGGATGCGATCTTTCATACGGATGAAAACAGCCTTGAATAGTTTAGCTCCTGCGTGAAAATTAAGCATGAGCAGTCTGAGCAAAAACCAAAACACTGAAGGTCATTTTTGACACGTCTTTTTAGGACCCCATTGCCATATACCAGATTCAGGAACAAGCCTTGCTACATGCTTTGCTTGCCACTTGAAGCTTAAAGTTATGAGAAATCTAGGGTCCATGCTTTTTTTTTTAAACTTTTTTTTTTGTTATTGGTGAGAGAGGCAAGAAGGCTACGAAGCTAAGGTCTCAGTCACACAGCCATAAACCTTGTTGGTAACTCTGACTAACTGGGAAAAATGAGAATTCCCACATAGTTTGCAGGTTGTAACTAGATATAATTGGTCCCACAAAGGGTCCCGTATCGAAAATCTTTTTATGTTTCTGTTGGTTGCTAGCAGCCAACCAAACACCATGTAGAAGTGCAACTTGACTAAGTGCAAAACAAACTGAAAACAAACTGAGAATGTCTGATTTCAAAGCAAAGGTTGCGCTTTACTGCTGCAACCGGCCGGCACCTAACAAAAGGTTCAACTTTTACTTTAAAGCCAAGTAGTTTCTTTTACCAGTTTGCATTGCACTTCATTGTTCCACTACCACTTACTTACTTTCATGCAAACTACCGCCAACCATGGCAATCTGCTAGCAACCATAGCAACTGCAAGGAGAATGTTGTGACAGCGCTACAAACCTCTTTGCAACCTATGTTACCCAATTGTAGCAACCTCTTGTAACCACTTGACAACTGGACAAGAAATACACACTATTCCCTTGCAACCAGTGGTTACTAGTAGTCAAAAGAGTCAAGAGAGTCACGGTTTTGTGGTTGTGGATTAATTTATATTCCTTAATTATTGTTATTCATGGTTTTGATTCTCATTATTATGTTTATGTTATATTCTTATGTTATACTATTTGTTCTTAGGCTTTAGGTTCCCGTTTTCTTGCCTTCCCCGTGTTCCACGTTTCTCATCTTGTCTCCTTGTTCCCTCTGTCTCACAAGTCAGTCGTGTTTCTGTCTCTATGTCAAATCTCCTTCCCATTATAAAGGAAACCAGTTCTTTCTTTCTAGTGGCCAATAGGGCTGGGCTATATCATACCGGTCACGGTAATACCGGTGCAATGTTGGGCAACGATCGGAAAATGAAATATTGCGATAGAATATGGGTAAAACGCGCATGCACAGTGCTTTTGTTTACATACGCACATGGCGGCGACGCAGAATGAGAAGAGAGAAAGCGCATCGTTAAATGAAACGGATGAACCAGAATTGGTTTGTAAAAATGCTGCAACTTCAGTGGTGTGGAACAAAGCACTATTTTTGGTAGCGCATGCCAGCAGGCCGTCGTTATTACTTTTTTTGAAAATACGGCACAAAAATCAATCCTTTGATTTTTCTGAAAATCGACAGTGCCCCTTATGATCCCGTGTGTCTTATGTATGAATTCTGGTTGTCTTTACTGACCTCGAAATGATTTTATGTACACGGCGCTCGAAAATCTGTCAAATGTTTTAGTATGACTTTGCTAAGCTACGAAGCCACACCGCTTGATGGATTGTCGGAGCATTACGGCTGTAGTAGGCAGGCGCCTCGCAGAGTGATACGTACTGTGCTTCAACATAATATTACCGTATTGTGTGTGCATAACCGCTTTTTAAGTGTTGTGGATATTATACATGGTTATGCTGAGGATATGTCGGCCAATTTCCACTGGAAATGC